TACTGTAACTAGGTAATAAGAATATTCATAAGTTAAGTATACAAATAACATTTGTTTTAATGTACACATCAAAAAATTGTCTTCCTAAATAGGAACCAAAAATTAATAATCGTTTTTTAATTATACTTCGTACATAAAATTTTAATTTACACGAATTCACTTAATATATATATTTATTTGATGTTCTAAAATTTTGAAAATTTAAAATTATATAGACATTTTTCTATAACTTGTAGAGAATTGTTCTAAATTGCCCTAATTACAAAATAATATTATTTAACCTGCATATATACATTACAGCATAAGTGTACACTCCTTTTGAACTGAAGGAAAAAAAGAATAGGTAAGATTAAATAAGATCAAAAGTGTAAGCTCTTTTTGAAGCACAATATAATTGTTCTAACAAAATGATTACGATGTTTGAAGTGCATCTTGTAAATATATGTACAAATTATTGGAAAAATTGTTGATACCTAAAAAATTTACTTATAGAAAAACAACATACATGTAAGTTCATATGTATACGATAAATTATTTCAAATTTTAGTTACTTATCACATTCGACTGTAAAATATTTTTTCAGTAAAATGTTGTGGAGGATGGAATACGGAAATAAGAAAATCATGCGTTATATAGATCTTTATTTGGTAAAACTGTTAAGCTGTAAAGTAGCCAAAAACTTACCTTATCAAAATAATTTCCACAGACACGATAAGGAAACGTCATCAGGATAATTGTGTGAATTAACAAATTCGGTATGACCGTAGGAGATGATGGGCTTTTCAATGGATATCTTTTCGGGATAATTTGATTTGACTTTCTTAAGAATCTTTGCTGAGTGCCGCCAAGTGTTCAGCATGTTAAACCGAGGTTCCTTGGTTTACGCCCCGTTATTACCGAAAATTCGCGCTCCGCTTTAGGACAATAGATGTGTTATACTCAAACAGCATTACTAGATTAGAGTAGCCCACTAGTAGGCAGTTGGTGGTGTTGAGTAGGTGCCTTTCATCTAGTCTATCACTTCCAAATTAGGAAGGACAAGCGCAGATAACCCTCGAGTAGCTTTACAAGAAATTCAACAAACAACGACTTAAAACCTTATCGCATAAAACATAGAACTTTTTTATCGCTAGATGTCACTGTGGCATCAGGTTTTTCAGAAGAAGATTTTTTTTGTTAATTCTGTAGACGAAGAACTTGAGAGCCTTTAAAAAAACAGATAAATAAAACTGATTTTATGGAAAGTACCAAAACTCACAAGCTTAAACGATTCACTGATATTTAATTCTTATTCTACCAATTGGGTCCACATATTTCATCGTATTGAATATGTTTTGTTTTTACCTGTTACGGTAATCAATGCAAACAACCGATATCAAATCACTCATAGGATACCCTACCAATAGTTGGATGGATTCATTATAATATTGACAGTGCTTTTTGTCTTTTGTTTGAGTTACATTTAGTTAGGAATCCTGTAATCAACAAAATATAAAAGTAATTTGATGCATAAATTGTTTAGCGAAGTGTGTTTTAAAAATCTAATATTGGTAACTGTAATGTATGACATAACAGTACGCTTGTTTAAAGAAGAGTGATATCGTTAAATACCAGCGCTCAGTTATACTATTATACACAGAAACAAAACAACCTTACACATCTGTCAAGGACAACAGTGCAGAAAATATAGACTGCTAAGACTTATTTAATTTTCATACTGTATTACATGCGAGATATGAAAATACCTCATTTGTAAATGAACTCTAATATTACTAATGTTAATGTGGAATTATTCTTAAGTACTGACTTTACTAAAAAGTTGTCTTTTGGTTTCCTTTTGTAAGAAAGATAGGTTGATAATTTTATAAGTTATGTACAGAGCAATATACATTGAAATTTGATAATTAGTACTACTTTATGAAACTGGAATATGTACAAATATGGAATTTGTAGAAAAGTTTTAAAAGCGGCAACTGTTTTGAATTAAAACCTCCACTCATGATAAAATTTTTCTCCAGTTTGAATTGAAACTTAAGTTCGTATCAAAACCTTAACCACTTTATGTTAAAACATGAAAGAATGATGAAAGAATCTCTGTCCAGTTTGTGCTAAAGTTTACACGTGCAAAAAACTCACTACGTTGCCAATATATGAATCAAAACTCACATTCATGTTAGCATTTTGGAAATTTGTTTCTAAATTTTCTGCCCTGTTTGTGTTAAAACGTACAAATATTTTATAGTCTATATATTGACTTTCTGCTGAAACTTACAGTATAGGTATAAATTTACTGAATTTATCAAGTTGAACCTTACACTTACGATATAGTTTTACTGGCTTTATCATGTCTTATATTATCTCATTCAGATTGAAACTTACAAACTTACAATATATATATAAGTTTATATAATACTTTAGTAAAAGGATTTCAACTTCAAATAAAGAGTCCGCCAGTTTGTGTTTAATAACACAGATATTAAGAAGTCCCTACTCACACAAAAGATTTTGCATACAATTTACGTAAAAATGCTTGAATGTAAGTTTATAAAATACGAGGTAAACTTCAATGCAATATGATTCTATAATAATTTTAAATATGTATCTCTCTTGAAACAAGAAACTAATATACTCATATACTTTGATTTCTCTGCGATACTGTATTTATTTCATTTAACTGAATACAATAAGGAACTTTAATCATTTGATTTTACTGAAACCTCTGTCATATACTACACGAGAGTGAGACATTTGATGTAACCAAACATAAACGGAACTTTAAATATAATCATTAGATCTAACCAAACATAACCGGAACTTTAAATGTAGTTATTAGATCTAGGTGAACACTACCCTGAATTTTAAATATGATTATTTGGATCTAGGTGAACACTACCCTGAACTTTAAATATAGTCATTAGATCTAGGTGAACACTACCCTGAATTTTAAATATGATTATTTGGATCTAGGTGAACACTACCCTGAACTTTAAATATAGTCATTAGATCTAGGTGAACACTACCCTGAACTTTAAATATAATCATTAGATCTAGGTGAACACTACCATGAACTTTAAATATAATCATTAGATCTAACCAAACATAACCGGAACTTTAAATATAATCATTAGATCTAGGTGAACACTACCCTGAACTTTAAATATGATTATTTAGATCTAGGTGAACACTACCCTGAACTTTAAATATAATCATTAGATCTAGGTGAACACTACCCTGAACTTTAAATATGATTATTTAGATCTAGGTGAACACTACCCTGAACTTTAAATATAATCATTAGATCTAGGTGAACACTACCCTGAACTTTAAATATAATCATTAGATTTAGGTGAACACTACCCTGAAGTTTAAATATAATCATTAGATCTAGGTGAACACTACCCTAAACTTTAAATATGATTATTTAGATCTAGGTGAACACTACCCTGAACTTTAAATATAATCATTAGATCTAGGTGAACACTACCCTGAACTTTAAATATAATCATTAGATCTAGTTGAACACTACCCTAAACTTTAAATATGATTATTTAGATCTAGGTGAACACTACCCTGAACTTTAAATATGATTATTTAGATCTAGGTGAACACTACCCTAAACTTTAGCCATTAGATCTAACTGAATGCTACCCTGATCTTTAGCCATTAGATCTAACTGAATGCTACCCTGATCTTTAGCCATTAGATCTAACTGAACATTACCCGAATCTTTAGTTATTAGATCTAACTGAACATTACCCTGATCTTTAGCCATTAGATCTAACTGAACACTACCCTGATCCTTAGCCATTAGATCTAACTGGACACTACCCTGATCCTTAGCCATTAGGTCTAACTGAACACTACCCTGATCCTTAGCCATTAGGTCTAACTGAACACCACCCTGATCCTTAGCCATTAGGTCTAACTGAACACCACCCTGATCCTTAGCCATTAGGTCTAACTGAACACTACCCTGATCCTTAGCCATTAGATCTAACTGGATACTACCCTGATCCTTAGCCATTAGGTCTAACTGAACACTACCCTGCTCTTTAGCCATTAGATCTAACTGAACATTACCCTGATCTTTAGCCATTAGATCTAACTGAACACTACCCTGATCCTTAGCCATTAGGTCTAACTGAACACTACCCGGATCTTTAGTTATTATATCTAACTGAAGATTACCCGAATCTTTAGTTATTATATCTAACTGAACACTACCCGGATCTTTAGCCATTAGGTCTAACTGAACACTACCCGGATCTTTAGTTATTATATCTAACTGAAGATTACCCGGATCTTTAGTTATTATATCTAACTGAAGATTACCCGAGGAACTTCAATAATTAAATATAACAAAACATTAAATTTGCTTCAGCCCAATATGACATTATAAATCTACTTTTTCAATTGAGCGAAACTAATTAAAACATACAGATCAGTACCATCTCTTATTTCATTTTCAATATTTTGATAGTTTCTTAATGTTTCTAGACATAATGATTCGTCTCTTTGTTTAACATAAAACCTACGTATCTTTCATTATTATTACTCATAATAGACTGGATATATACATAAATAATATAGATTTCATGCTCCTTGTCATACCATTCTTGTGTATATCAATATTTCACGTCCAAAAAATAGTATACACGTTTCACAAAATCCAAGTTACTCGCCTGTATGAACTTGGATCGTATTGTAAGATAAACGACGAAACATGCTCTCTACACGTGCATCTTTGTAGGATGATAAGGTATGTATAGTGAGGGGGGTAACATTAACACTTCCTCTTGTTTGTGACCGCCCCTCAGATGATCGGTTGTGGGTTGGTACAATAATAATCACTCAGGCAGGTAAACTTGTAAATATGCACTAAAAAAATAGTTTCATGGAGGATAGTAATGTGTATATGGTATCAAATTTTACTTAACTTTACACTAGATTAGTTGATTACAATAACTGTCCTACAAAGCAATTCTGCAACATAACGTATTCACAATAAATTGATTAAAACAAAGGCCTAAGTCACCGGGGCCAGGCGGACAGCGTCGAGAGAGCGTGAAAGTTTCCGCAGGAGGGCAGATGGCGAAATGTAGCTATGTCTAGTCTGGGACATTGGCAAGATCTAGTCAGTCGTGGGACAAAGAAGTTATTTATCGACTTTTTAGATGATTCATTCTGCTGTTTTAAAGTATTTTGTTTGGGTTCAATTATGCTTTCGATTGAGAAGTTGTTGAATTTTTCGTTGTTACAGAAGCAGGCTGTTGCTATATCTTTAATAGTTGGTGAGGTTGTCTGTAGACGCAGAGGGAGTGAGCCCGAAATCAGTGCCGGCCCTTCCAGGCTTGATAGGAAGTTCACATTTATTGGGGGCACAGACGCTCGGGGAAGATCCCTTGGCGTGAAGAGAGGAACAGGCTGCGGCAAAGGCGAGAGAAACGGGTATCGGCTAGCGAGGGACGCCGACAATATGGTAGGATGTAACAGGCCGTTATAGTGCCGATACGAATCCATTGAAGCAAAGAATGCACATGGGTCTTTAAAAAGATCGGGCTGGTGGCGTTTGTACCGCTTTCGTCGGCGGAGAAAACTGCCGTTATCAAACATGTCTTCACTGGCTGGGTCAAGTGACCAGTAGTTACCCTTGCCAGGGTTCCCTGGTTCTCGGGGAATCTTGATAAAACAGTCGTTTAAAGATAAATTGTGGCGGATACTATTCTGCCACATAGGATACTTCTCGCGGTAAAATGGAAACCTGTTTTTGATAAACTCACAGATACCGCTAAGGGTTAACTTTTTGTCAGGTGACTGTAGGATAGCCATTGTTATGAGTGCGATGTACGAGTAAGGTGGTTTGACAAGGCGGGAGTTTGGCTTATTCTGGTAATTTGAATCTTGAATTGGAGTCAGTTGTTTAGTACCGTTCGATATCGGAGTTTCGTCTTGCTTAGTTGATGTTATCATATAGTTCTCGTTTGTTTTATGGCGCATTTGGTAATTTGTGCTGATGTCCATATCACGGTTGTCTGAAGGCGTATGTGTAAGGAGATCATTTTCATAATCTATACAGCCACTATTGTCTTGGTCAATCAGCATATGATCAGCGGCATTTTTCGGGTCTGCAGTCGCCTGTTGTAAAGTTTCCATCCTGTCTGCCACTACGTAGCACAGGTCAGGTTCTGATACATGTCTTCCTACATTGGGCTGGACAGTGGATGAAGCTACACAAGGCTAAATAAGGAAGACTAGTAATATAAACTTTACGGAGAGGCAAAAATTCACTAAACTATTAAAGAAGTGCGATTGATTCTGTCAAAAGAAGTTCCTGGTTAGCACTAGACACGGTCACAGATTAGAAAGTGCCCTGTGAACATAAGAGATGACTGAGGAAGTGATATTACTTTATCAACCAATAAGGTGTCGATACATCCACGTGACTAGTGATAGGCTGAACCTGTCCCAAGTCTCATCTTGTAAGCCACGCCTACTTCTATATTCATAGTTTCAACGCTTATGCAAAGAGTTCAACCAATCTTGTAATATCTTCTACATAATCCAAGTGACGAGAAAAATCTCCTTTCCTGGTAAGTGATTGTTTAACAGTTTTTGTAACAGTTCCACAGTAAAGACAATTTCAACAAAATATTGTTTTGATGGTCAATGATTATACTTTAACTTATCCCTCTTTATCGTGATTTTCAGTAGTTTTTTTATACACTTATCCATTTACCTTGTTAGAGTATTGTTCATTCTGCCAGTGTATCTTAGTAATACATCAAACGTGACTGAAGCGTGTAACTGGTACAGTATATAAATGCTTTATATCACTTTTTCTTACATGTTTACAAAGTAGCTGCAGTACATCACATACTGGCAATTAAGATCCATCACATAATTGTCCCCCGATAACCCTATGTGAACGAGTGTGTAGAGGTCATGCAAACACACTTCGCAAACGGTACGATGGACAAATGCGTTTTCATTCTTCACATGAACATCATCTAGCACTACGATTTGTCAAAGTCTGAGTAAGACGGACTTCGTCAGTTTACAGCCATATTTTTAGCACAAAAACTTTAATAACACACCTAATTTGTTTTGTAAAACAGACCTGAACTATTGATTAAAAGCTTGCCACTATTTGTGAAAGACAAACCTCGTAAATTCGGAATTATTGTCTCCATTACTTCCCCAATATGTGATCGGTCCAATGGACCGACCTTGCATATTCAGATAATTTCGCTACATCATATTATTATCCAAAAATAATTATGCTACATCACATGTTGGTTACCTGGTAGTTACGATACTTGTATCCCAGTAATTGTATAAGTACAATACATTATATTATTGTTTTGTTCTATTTTTTATTCTTAGCTATATGATTAAGACATATCAAACAATTGTCTTGCCTTTTTATGTATATAACGACATAACATCACAAGATTGCGTATTTTCCGTGTAGTTAGTGTATTCTCTAATTCAAATAAATATTTATTGCTGTACCCAAATAGTTATATAGTTGCGTTAATCACACCAATTACCCCACGTAACAGTACGATTAGAAAACATCTGATATATCCATATCTACCTTGTTGACATTTTAATTTACCCGTTCTTTTGGTTAATGAGTAGGTACGGTTCGTTATAGCTTCATTTCTTACCTGACATAGCTGTCTCCTATAACGTCAGGCTATTCCTTATGTGGTATATATATGACTCTTGTCAATTATATAATTACAAGACACTCGTGTTTATTATTAGGATTTTCATTGTTGATTGTACAACAATTCTAGTTTACTCGACTTCATTTTCAGGTTTGACGCATACATGTACTAATCTAGCACGAAATTATAGTTTATTTATACACATCTGAAAGCAACCACAAGCCAAACACAATTACCACAAATACTGCAAGAGATGGAAAGATGAGTAAGTCTACTGTAGAAAAAATACTCGCGAAATTTTGAAGATAAGAACCAAATACGTTAACTGAATAATTTTCTAGGAACCTAATGGTTTCAATGGATCTTCCTTTGTAATTTCTTGAATTTTTGCGGATGTTTAAAATGGATAAATTGCTTACATGTTTGGTTTTGATATAAAAACCTGATATATACTTCTCTATTGTTCTTTTTTACCACAACCAAATACGCCTTTTGTGTTTAATCATTTTACCACAATCAAATACATATTTTATATTTAATCATTTTACCACAACCTAATACACATTTTATATTTAATCATTTTACCACATTCAAATACATATTTTATATTTAATCATTTTACCACAACCAAATACATATTTTATATTTAATCATTTTACCACAACCAAATACATATTTTATATTTAATTATTTTACCACAACCAAATACATATTTTATATTTCATCATTTTACCACAACGAAATACAGATTTTATATTCAATCATGTTACCACAAACAAATACATATTTTATATTTAATTATTTTATCACAGGCAGCCACTGGCTTAGCGGTACGTTTCCGGGCTTACGATGTAAAAATTAGGTTTCGATACCTGTGTTGGGCAGATCATTGTGTAACTTTGTGCTTAAAAGTAACCAAACAAACTTTTACCACAACCAAATACACATTCTATATTTAATCATTTTACCACAACCAAATACACATTCTATATTTAATCATTTTACCACAACCTAATATATATTTTATATTTAATCATTTTACCACAACCTAATAAACATTTTATATTTAATTATTTTACCACAACCAAATACATATTTTATATTTAATTATTTTACCACAACCAAATACATATTTTATATTTAATAATTTTTACCACAACTAAATACATATTTTATATTTAATAATTTTACCACAACCAAATACATATTTTATATTTAATAATTTTACCACAACCAAATACATCTTCTACATTTAATCGTTCTCCTACAAGAATATTCATTCTTATCACATAATTATTCTAAGAAACAAAATACATTCTCATGTCACTTAGTTCTTTTCTTTTGTTTGTTTTGGCGTAAATCTACACAGTACGCTATCTGTACTCTATCCATCACGAAGAATTGAACACAGTATTTTAGTAATGGCTGGAGACGGCTTGAATGGGTAATGAAGAAAAACTTTAATATAAGTTTAGCATAACAGCAAATGTACAACGTTTCGACAAGGTTTTGTCATCATCAGGTACTTTTTTTTTTTTTACGTAGTTTGAAGATAGTTTCACGGTATGATTTCACGGTGGATTGGTGAGAGAACATACTTAAAAAGTTATACATGGAATAACAAAGATAAACGTTTAGACTTACCCAACCTCGATTAATCGCCGTGATGAATTCAAATTCGACGACGAGGAACCCACTTTGAGACTAATAATGGCTGGAGACGGCTTGAATGGGTAATGAAGAAAAACTTTAATATAAGTTTAGCATAACAGCCATTATTAGTCTCAAAGTGGGTTCCTCGTCATCGAACAGTATTTTAGTAGTAAGACCATAAACTTACCGCCAACCTGCTGAAGAACTAGTTCGTCTTTACCACTTATCCCTTCTAGAGCAACCAAATATATCCTAGTGAATTCTATCACATCGAAATAAATCTTTATCACTTAATAATTCCACAACACCAACATAGTGTTTTACATTGGACTACAACTATCACGTAGAAATATATCCTTACCGACTATGACTCCTAACATAAGAAATGCATACCAATTAAACAACCAAATTCAACTTTACAACTTAATCTCTATTTCTTTACGTCAAGCATTTACGACATTTCGATATTTACAACGGTAAAATACATAATTTCCATTTATTCCGTCTTTTATAACAAATTTTATCCTTACGAAACGTTTAATTTCTATAAGTGACAATATTATGAGTGTATCGTTTTACAACGGCAAAATACATAATTTCCATTTATTCCGTCTTTTATAACAAATTTTATCCTTACGAAACGTTTAATTTCTATAAGTGACAATATTATGAGTGTATCGTTTTACAATGTTAAAATACATAATTTCCATTTATTCTGTCTTTTATAACAAATTTTATCCTTACGAAACGTCTAATTTCTATAAGTTACAATATTA